GACGGTTACCACCAGATAAACTAGCAGCAGCTAAGTCGGAATTCGAACATATGATGCAGCTGGGCATCATACGACCATCCAACAGTCCACGGTCTTCACCTTTGCATATGGTTCCCAAAACTAATCACGACTGGCGACCATGTGGAGATTATCGCGCTCTGAATAATGCTACGGTGCCAGACCGTTATCCTATACCTCATCTCCACGACTTCTCCTTGACGTTACATGGAAAGACTATTTTTATCAAAGTTGACTTGGTTAGAGCATATCATCAAATACCAGTCGCTCCATAAGACATTCCAAAAACAGCAATTATCACACCTTTTGGATTATTCTAATTCTTGAGAATGCCTTTCGGTCTAAAGAATGCTGCGCAAACATTTCAGCGTTTTATGGACCAAGTTACCCAAGGTCTTGATTTTGTCTTTGTATATATCGACGATGTCTTAATAGCCAGCTCATCGATGGAAGAACATATGGAACACTTAAGCTTGTTATTTCAAAGATTTGAACAATTTGGAGTTGTGATCAATCCAAAGAAATGTATTTTTGGTTCCCCATCCATCGAATTTTTAGGATATCGAATAACTGCCGAAGGCATCAGACCTACCGAAGATAAGATAGAAGCTATTAAGAACTTTCCCGAACCTGATTCCTTAAAGAAACTCAGACGTTTCCTCGGGATGTTCAACTTCTACCGACGTTTTATTCCATCATGTGCCTCCATAGTTCAGCCACTGACCGACCTACTTAGACGCAATTCAAAGAAATTTCAGTGGTCTGAAGAAGCAAAAGCAGCATTTTATAACGCAAAATATGCCTTATCCAACGTCGTAATGTTGTCTAATATCAATCCAGAAGCTTCACTCATTTTATGTACAGATGCATCGCAGGTAGCAGTGGGAGCAGTTTTACAACAAAAGTTCAATAATGACACCACTCCACTTGCTTTCTTCTCCAAAAAGTTGGAACCTGCACAAACCCGTTACAGCACATTTAGCAGAGAACTGTTAGCCATCTACCTAGCAGTAAAACATTTCACCTTCCTACTACAAGGTAGACATTTTACTATCTTAACGGACCATAAGCCTCTCTGCTATGTTTTCACCACTTCGTTGGATAGACACTCTCCGAGAGAAGCCAGACAACTGGATTACATCTCACAATTCTCAACAGACATCCAGTTCATCAAAAGAGACTTTAATATCGTAGCTGATTCTTTATCTCGATCTGACGTTAATCACCTATCTTCGATAGATATTAGCTTAGACAATATGGCCAAGCTGCAGAAAAATGACGCCGAACTTCATTCTTGCAGACGAAACTCCTCCCTACAGTTGCAGGACGTACCTATTCCCCTGTCTGATACAACCATCGTCTGCGATGTTTCAACTGGCGTTCATAGACCTTTTGTCCCACTAAGTTGTCGAAAACCTTTGTTTGAACATCTGTATTCCTTGTCTCATCCCGGTATACGTGCTACGGTCAAGTTGATCAGCGAACGTTTTGTTTGGCCCAAGATGAACTCCGATATTCGGAAATGGGCCCACCAGTGCTTGCAATGTCAAAGATCCAAGGTACATCATCATACCGTTACACCTCCAAAGCAGTTCAGTTTACCGGATAGACGATTCCAACACGTGCACATAGATATTATTGGACCATTACCGCCATCCAGAGGATTTACTCATATACTTACTGCCATTGATCGATTTACCCGATGGGCTATTGCTTGTCCACTCAACGACATATCTGCAGAAAATACCGCCTTGGTTTT